AAACCACATTCTCTTGTGGTGCCCCTCTATTGACTTTGGACTGTCTCTTATAGCCTCTTGGGTATCAATTCGGTGATAGTCGGCTTGGTAAAGGAGGAGATCTCGGTGTGGAAGGGGATCAGTGGACCGAAAAAGCATGTTGGCCTCATTCCCCTTGCTATTTTCTGGTGGCGTGGAAAGAAAAAAACATGAGAGCTTTTGAAGGCACTGAAGTTTAACTTTCGTAGAGTTCAAGATAGTTTTTAATTAAAGGTCATCCTCGTTATACTTTCAAGGATCTTAAGGATCTTATTGATATTTTGATTAACATGTTAATATATTTTATATATAAATTTGCACTCCCCTGTTCTGGAATTCCCAGGTGGATATTCAACAAGTCCAAGTATTCCCTTGGATTACCTTGAAGCCAGCATCCTTTGCCAAACAAAAACAGTCAGCCACAGCAGCAACTGTGTGCCCTCTATTTGTGTCACGTGCAACATCCTCATATGTGCTTTGGACTCCAATCTCCAGCCGTGTACAACCATAAGAAAGCATTTGCCGCAAATGAGGTCCAAGGCAATAATCTGGCCTCCTGGTAACAGAAGATATATATTTGTTAATAAAGACATTTTAGACTGCCAACTAGCAGGGGAAAAAAACTGATAGAAAAAAATGTGCAAACTATAAAAATAACCCAAGCTTTCCATTTTGATGATTGAGAAACATGAACACACAACAAGAGAGAAGTTTCAGTTCACATTTTAACACAACCTGGAAAATGATTTTTTTCTTAAAAACAATAGCATGGTTATGGTAAAAACTGCCAGAGCAAACAAATGAAGAAAGTAACTCACGTTTCAATAGTCATGCCAATACACTTTGTTGCACTATGCTCAGAATATGCAACTGCCTCTTCAACATTGGCAGAGGTGTGGCCTGACAGAGCATCATGGAGATTCCTTATGAAGTAATCACGATAATCTGCTGGCAGTGACATAAAGGTACCACCCATCAAAATGAACTCAACCTGAAAAAGTTAAGCAATATCGATTAGAAGAACTGCGATTAGGCTTAAGGAACTTCATGCAGCAAAACAGAATGTTTGAACCCTAATGGAGATGGAACCAAACCTTGTCTACACTATGACCCAAGCGCTTTAGCTGATCTATCCTGCTCCTGGCTTGGACATATGGGTTATACCTGGAACCATAAGCATATTGTGTGAATCTCAAAACATTTTTACAGTGTAACCCAAAGACTTTCAAGGACTTGCCTATAGTAAAGGTGATAACAATCAGTTCATCATTACATCAAGTCCTAAGCCCTGCTAAACCAACATAAAACCTGGCACCAGTTATAAAGCCATGTTAAAGCCTACAAAGTATAGTTCCCAGTTAAACCCTACCAAAGTGATAGTTCCAAGTTGAAGATAACCTATACAAACTCCTTACCATCACCATAATCCCTATCATTCTCAGAATCCACCAATTATAAATTAGCAAGTCCTCTAGAACACTATTACTGGAGGAAAAAAAACCCATAAAGACCCAGCACCAGCTGTAAAGGTCATGTTAAACCCTACCATGTATAGTTCCCAGTTAAATCCTACCAAAGTGATAGTTCCCAGTTGACGATGACCTATACAAGCTCCTTACCATCACCATAGTGCCTATGATTCTCAGAATCCACCAATTACAAACTAGCAACTCCTATAGTTTGTGATTTTTCAATGATGAATATTACCCCTAATACAGGAGAAAAAGAAACCCATTAAAACTCGGCACCAGTAGTCAAGGCCACGTTAAACCCTACCATATATAGTTCCCAGTTAAACCCTACCAAAGTCACAGTTCCCCGTTCAAGATAACCTATACAAGCTCCTTTACATCATCCTAATCCCTATCATTCCCAGAATTCACCGATTACAAATTAGCAAGTCCTCTAGTTTGTGATTCTATAATGAAGAATATTACCACTTAACTACGAACAAAATTATTGAAAAGAAAGTTTGTAAAGCCCTAATTCTCCAACAAAGCACGTATAACAGCGACGCAAAAACCTTACCTTGCTCGAATTGCCCGCATACTGGTTGGCTCATAACCGGTATAAGATTGAGTACTATACTCAAAATCGGAGTCTGGTCCACCAGGACAGTAAACGCAAATATTACCCGTCGTGGCTATGTGGGGGCACCGATGCGGCTTTGACATGACGGCCACGACGGCAATCCCAGATGCCGTTCGAACCGGCTTAGCCCGCAGCTTAGGAAGCAACGAGTCGCGGTCCGACTCGGGCAGCGCCGCTATCATTTCCACGAGCTTTGGAGCACGAGCAAGCCCATACTTGCGACACGCGGCGGATTTGAGGGCGTTCAAGTCCACGGTCTCGTTCTTGCGAGAAAGCTCCACCATGGAGTTCACGATCTCCGCTATGGCTCGTACCCGAGCTTCCTCCTCGGTTAGCCCGTGTGCCTGGTATCCGCCCCGGCCAGGCCGAGGCTGTTTCTTCAACTGGGATACCACTGCGACAGTCGCCATTGTACCGAGAAAATCGTGATGAAACCCGGAGCGAAGAAAATCACACCTTGCGGGACGCACGAAGCCTTATTGGTATGCAAAGCTGAAAACTTTGAGTCCAGACTCCAGAGTATCAGGATTCCCTGCCGCTACGAGAATTTCTTTGTTGAAGAAACTATTTCCAACGAAGCTTTTCTTGTTCCCCTTAAAATTTGATGCTGTTGCAATTCCTGAACTTTTTAATGACAAGAAATTATAGGAGTATCTAATTTTTAGAGAATTTAAAAATTAAATAAAATATATTT